GTAGCCTCAGCCAGTTGGTCTGAAGTGAGCTTTGTGGGAATGAGCAGTGACCTTTTCAGTTTCTCCGTGGACGGGAAACCAGCCCTTCTGGAAAGGGCTCTCCCATCCTAGATGTTGTTAGGATGGTGTTGTTAGGATATCTCGGCTTCTCCAGCTCCGAGAAGCCGCCAGTGGAATCAGGTGTTTCTAACGGGAGCAGAGCCGCCCCCCCCCCCAACTTGATCCCTGTGTCAGGGAACAGGGGTCTACCCACGGAAGTAAGAAGTCCGTGGCTCACGTAACTCCCTGCCTGCACCTAATAGCTGAAAAAGACAGACCTAAGGACTAAACCTAAGAATGTTGTTTTACTTACGAACGACAGTCCGCTTCCTGGTACGTCTTAGCACGTGAATCATTCCATTTACTAACGTTCACCTCCTGTAACTGCCTTTTAGAAGGTAATCAAGAAGGGAGATGCCTCCTCTCGTCCCTTCTGGACCCCCCACTTTGTGTCCTTGCCGTTGTCCTTTCCCAGGGCAGAGGGAGCCTGGGTTTTAACAGGCCTGAGAATATGGAGCTTTGCAGTAGGCTCTATGGCAAAGGTAAACTAATTATTAAAGACACAAGTATTGATTTTCGGTGACGATTTAGGGAAGATGGAGTTTCTCCACTGGTGTGGAGGTATATATAATGATCATAACTTTTATCGCTTGGCACTTTTGTCTAGGGATTCGATACCTGACTTTTTGTCTTATTCCAATTAGATTATCTGCTCCCTGATGCTCTATCGAGGATGACCGTGGGCTGGGATGACGCATAAGGGGATAGTAACGGGATATTTCGTTCAAGGCTTGCTGCCTCAGATCTAGCTCTGCTTAGCACGGGGACGAGAGGCTGACTCAGATGTTTATGACTAATGTCAGCTGAGTCTCTGTCCACTTAGGAGACATCGTGGGGAAAGAGAAAGGGCGCTGGTGATCTGCCCATCTCTCAGGGACCCTGGGGCATCAGACAACCTTCCTTCGGGGGTGGGTGTTCAGGGAGCCAGAAGAATTTGAGGGTGGGGGAGTCCGGGATCTGCCCGTGGCACCCTCTTGCCTTGAGGCTGAGCCCCGGGGAAAGGTGCTTCCGGCGGTAGGCACAGCGGTCAGCTTGCGCTGCGACCGTGGCTGAACCGCTGGACCTCTGAACCTCTGCTTTCTCATCCAGCATGAGGGTTTGGACTGGCCAGCCTTTGAGTTTGCCATTTGGTTATTCCATACATGCTTTATTAAAATCCGCCCCCCCCCACAACAGTAGCTGTTGTGTTTTTATTTATTTTTTATTTTTATTTTATTAAAAATTTTTTTAAACGTTTATTTATTTTTGAGAGAGAGAGAGAGAGAGACAGAGCATGAACAGGGGAGGGTCAGAGAGAGAGGGAGACACAGAATCTGAAACAGGCTCCAGGCTCTGAGCGGTCAGCACAGAGCCGGACGTGGGGCTTGAACTCCTGAACCGCGAGATCATGACCTGAGCCGAAGTCGGACGCTTCACCGACTGAGCCACCCAGGCGCCCCAGCTGCGGTGTTTTTAAAGAAAACACAGCACCTAGGCTTGGTAGAAAGAATCCTACGTAACCACATGTCTCTGTGGGTACAGAGCCAGCTGGTGTTAAATGAAACGTGGACCATCCATTCTCACTGGGTGGGGAGCCTGTGCTCCTGTAACGGGCATCCCCGGGAAGCTGTGCTCCTGTAACGGGCATCCCCACCAAAGCGTGTGCTGGCAGGAGCTGGCACACCCTAGGCACTCAAGATATGCCCCTTACCTTGAATTGGGGGCACGTTACATAAGTTTCCTAGCCCTCATTGTAGCCATCCAAAAAATGGGGATAATGCCACGACCTCATGGAGCTGCGGTGGGAATCACAAGTGACCCGCTCGCTAACCCCCTACTTACGGTCTTGGGGAATGCCAGAGTCTTCTGGTAAGAGGAAGCAACTCCAGATGTGTCCTGCCAGGTGACCTTGGCCAGTTGATCAGGCTGCAGACTGAGCATAGTTTCACTGGTATTCCAACAGCTTTGACAAAATACTGTTTTCCAAGTAGTATGTTGAAAGGGGTGAGAAGCCTTTTATTCCAGGGCCGCTACAAATATTGCCATATTCCAGTCCCCCACCCGCACCCCCAAGATGTGCAGGAGCTGTGGAGAAGAATAAACCGCTCGTGGGTTCTCCTCGCTGAGTCGCCTGGAAGTTTCTTTGTTCAGCCTCCGGTAGTGCTGTGGAGGATGTGGTGTTGTGAATGGGGTTCTTTTGCCCGACTGAATAAAGAGCACAGGCCAGTCGGCTGCAGGTTAGTCCAGATTAGAGAAGCTACCGTTTGAAGGAGATCTGAACTGCAGTTCAACCCTGGTATCTTTCCTGGTTTGCCTGATGGGCTCTGAACCCGGACTGGTGAATTACAAGTTCACCTCAGGTCATTGTGGGGGAATTTATGCATGGGATTGTGAAGGGAGAGCTGTCTGGGAATCTGGCATGATTTCCATTTGCTACTTGTATTTTTGCTACTTAGTTTCTGAAGTGCAAGAAGCAGTTTAAAAAAGGGGTGGGGAGTAGGACTAGGATCTTTTAGAAAGGTTCTATTTAAAGCCGTATTTGTCCTTCTGGGGAGGGGTGGTGAAGTGTGTAGGAAAGAGCCCTGGACTGTACAGGATGACCGCAAGTGAAATTAGCCCTAGGACATTTGACAAGTCCCTTTTTTGTGCCTCAGTTTTCTCATCTGTAAAGCGGGGAGGTGGTCATCTGCCCTTACCAAAATCCTTGAGCTGAAGGGTGTAAGTATTTGGAGAATTGAATGTAACTTTATTTTTTGAAAAACATTTTTAAAGTTTATTTGAGAGAGAGAGCGTGTGAGTGCCTGAGCAGGGGAAGGGAAGAGAGAGAGTTCCAAGCAGGCTCCATGCTGTCAGTGTAGAGCCTGATGTGGGGCTTGATCTCATGAACCTTGAGATCACGACCTGAGCTGAAACCAAGAGTCGGACGCTTAACCAACTGAGCCGCCCAGGTGCCCCCAGTGCGATTTTAAAAGAAGGTATTGTCTCCGTGAT